TTGCAGTAGCTTCAAAGTGCACAAAATTAAAAAGGAACGCTGTCAACAGTACACTTGCATGACGTCATAGTGCCAGTACTTGCAGTGCATAACGGAACGCACCCACGTCAAAATTAATGACGTGATATACTCATGATAGTACTTTCGCAGTGCACTGCTATCTATATCGGAACGCTATTGGTAGTACTGTCAGTACTTGCAGTGCATAACGGAACGCACCCCTGATCTCGAGCCGCCGAAAGTTCACGCGCGCGAGATTACAAGGGCGAATCGCGATAATTACCGAGTGCTTTTGACGTGAAAATTTCCGGGATTTTTCGACGTTGTTGATCGTTTTCTAAGCGGGCAACTGCGCGTTTCCGGTCGTATTTCCGCGTCATCGTGTTGAAATATCGTTACGAAATAGACTCATCAAAATTGCAAGTTGCTGATTGCAACAACAATTGACTATATACGACACGCCGCCATATTATTATTTATATTTCAATATCGTACGTTCTCGTGAATTGTCGAATCGGAAATATTTAGCATAAAGATCGAGAATTTATAATACTTAATTGTCAAAATACGCGACGATCGCGAGTGTATATATCCGGTATTCGGAAAGTGCTCCTTTTGTTTTCCTTTTGTTGTCTAGACATCGGATTCTCGGAATTGTAGTGGCCAATTCGGGAATATTCGGCGACTCCCGAGTGCGTCGCGGGTAAGTCGCCGTCGTCGCTCGACGAGACCCTTCGTTAAATGGTCTTGAAAAAAGCGGCGACGCGGAAACGGCTTTATTCGCGCGCGAATATAAAACTCTCGCGCTTTACGCGTCGAAACCCGGCGTCGCGAACAAAAAAAGTAACGCGAGTGTTAAATTTCGAAGCTTTTACGAGGAAGAGGAAGAGGACTTGGGGTGGCATCGGGCAACGATGGAGCAACCGTGAGGTGAATAATTTATTTATTATATATATATATATATATTGATCATTACTATTTTTATTATTAATAAATCTATGTAAATAATAATTGTTTCGAAATATCAATTATTTTAAATTCACTCCCATCCATGTATTTATATTTTACAGTTTACAATTCTGCTGAGGTGCATCGTATCGGTGAGTCTTGTGAATTTTTATTTAAATTGTGGGTTTTATAATTTTATAAAAATCCAATTTTGTGTGTGTGTGTGTGTGTGTGTGTGTGTCGAATCTTTACAATGTTGTGTATTTTGCGAAATACGAATCTGTAAACTAAAATCCGCGGAACTTACTGTAACTTTTTTCGTATTTAAGCGTGGCAATTTTAATTTATAGATTTATGTTTTACGTACAAAATTACGCAATACTGTAAAGTTTCGGCAAAATCGGGAAGGACGAAACTTGTCCTCAGTGTATATTACTCTTTATTTTAACATAATATACACACACTGATTTTTAAGAACAAAATGCTGATTAATTTATTCAGCCATTTAATCAAATAATAGTTGCATTTTGTTGATACGAATATAAAAATATTAATTGTTTATTGTCATTTGATATATATGTATATGAATAGGAAAAAAAATTAAATAAAAAATAACGAATTATACACAAAATAAAAAATATGCCGTAAATAATCAAATGCAATAATTATGCAAAATGAAAAATATACCTAATTGAAATTAGAGTTAACTCAAAATTGTCATATTCGACATTTCGATATTTTGAGAATTATGATATCGCGATATTGCGATTCTCGAAATTAAATATCCTTCACAAATCGTGCCCCCACAACGATGATAAAACCGCGTTTAAATCTATTCGTATACAATTAGAGAATAAATATCCTAAATATTTCTGATAAATTGTCGAACGTTGATGTAGGGAAATAATAAAATAATTCTACATATTTGTATAAATTTATATGTTTATATGATGATTTAAAATAAAATCAAAACACATTTTTTATTTTAAATTAACAATATTTCTCAAAATTTATTTTTATTTACACTAAATTATTAAAAAATTCATTATGGGATTGTTCTTTTTCAATAATAATATTTTTTGAAAGCTATACGCTATCGTAAGTTACGTTACCGATTTATTGTATTTAATTGTGTAATATTGTATGCATATTTGCAATGTATACTTCTTTGCTGAAATTAAATTACACTTTCTACTTATATTCATAAATAAAAAAAAAAAAATATATATATATATAACTTTTTATAAAAATATATTTGAATAAAAGAGAATGTTCAAAATTCAATATTTTTATTTCAATATTAATTCATTTTGTTTAAAAAAATTTTAGTAATATCATCAAATAATAATTTTTTCTACGTTTTTCGTAATATTAAAAAATTGAAAAGAATTTTTCGGCTTTCGAAAAAAGAAGAAGAGCAAAGTAATTTCTTTTAAATTTTACTGTCTAATAATGTATTAAGTTGTATATGTATACAATAATTTAGAAGTCTCCATAGAGAAAGAGAGTGAAACAAGTAAATTAAAATTCTCTGTAGTAATATAGTATACGTTTTAAATATTTATAATAAGTAAGTCCGTGACACATTTCAGGAAAAAACTTTTGCATTTGCATATTTATTTTCTTGTAAAATATTTTTTTCTAATCTTCCCAATCTCTTGTTCTAGTACATTAGTAAATCTTTACGCAATATCTTTATAAAAAGATAATTCGAAGATAATTAAGGTGAACTGGTGTAGCATGATTTATGAAGCAAAAATTAAGTCTGTCATTCTTAGGAATTTTACAAAAAAAGTTGGATAAATGATTAAAATAATGTAATTATTAGTATATATTCTAAAATTATAAAAGAAATTTTTAGCTATAAAATAATATATGATAAATAATATTAATCATACAAATAATTTATTGTGATTACGATTTGTAATATTCTTGTTATCATATTGCGGTAGATACTTATAAAGATATACATATATAAAAATATTAACAAATCTAATTGCGCACATTACATGTATACTTATTTATTGCGCAATCCTACCTCTAGGAAATACATTATTTATTATAATTACATTCATGAATAATTGATGAAAAAGATGCTAATTTATTGCTTGTTTCGTATCTATCTCGTAAACCTGTTGACTATCGATTTTCTTTGAAAATAATTTATGTATAACATTTATTCTAGATTTATATATTAAAAAAATTTTAATTTGTTAGAAATAATATTCATATCTCTATATGTGTTGTTATTTTAATCAATGATAATTATATAATTTTTCTTCTAACATTGAAAATCAAATAAATTTATTTTCCAGATTATACAATTTATATTATCCGTACATTTTCAAAGAAATGATATCTCTCTTCGATATTGTGTAACGTAAAGTATTTATAAATTAAAATCTATGTAACATTGCAACTATGCAAAGAACAATTTTTTTTATTTATTTGTAAATTATAATCTCAAAGCGGAAATTGCAAAAAGCATTCGATTTCAATTATTTTACTTAATAGCATTAGACTTATAATGATTATATTCTGAAATGAGATTATAGTTGATTAAAATGTGGACATGTTAATTATTTTAGTGAAATTTTTCTCATATAAAACATATTCAAACGATATGTGTTGACTCAATTCTTTTAATTAGATATTGGAACATTTTTTTAACTTGATTTATTCACTTATAAAAGCTGTTTAAAACGGATATTTAAACAATAATAAGAAACATTTTTATTCAAAACATTTTTATAGCTATCCACACACACACACACACACACACACACAATTTATTAAAATATATTAATATTAATTATATTATTTTTTTACTAATTAACCTGCACCTGTATTTTTTCTTCCATGTAAAGTTTTGTTTTTTATTTATTTTTATTACGGATGATACTTGTAAATAAAATGTACAATCATTTATATAGTGTCTGCATTAAGAATTATTTAAAAGTGATGATTTGGCTAATCAGTGCTCAATTATATTGCATTGATATGCATTTTCGGGAAAAAAGAACATTATGTCAATAAGTATGATGATATCGCATCACAAATATTTTCGAAAACGATAAATTGCGAGATCAATATATCACAAATATTATATGAAAATAGGATCATGTTTGACAACAAATGTGAAATTCTTAAAGGATTTCAGTATATATATTTTCTGTGAGAAGTTTATTATAGCCTCATTACAGCCGCGTATTATGGTGTCAAGAGCAAAAATTTATTTCTTTGCGCTATGCGCTGGCACATTAATTTTTTTCTTATAATGAATATGTAACATACATATGAAACGTGTCATGGTAGTCGCAAAGCTATATTTAAATCCGTTAATTAAAATTGTATTTTGCAATATTTTTTGTGTTTGTGGAAAAATTTTATATGCAAAAAATTATTACGATTTATTTCTTATAAATTATTAGATATATTTATTTATTATATATAATAAACTGTTATCAGTTATCGGTATCATAATTTTGATCAAAAATGCATTTTTTTGTATCTGAAATTGAAAATGAACAGATTTCATGTTATTTTTTCGGCAAAATATCTTATTATCTCACCGAAAGTTACAACTGCTACTGTTACGCAATTATTATTTTTAAATGTGTGCTACAATCATTAAAAATAAACAAATTTTATCAATTTTTTATAAGAAAAATCGTGAAAAATCTCTTTTTGAAGGGTATAATGAAAAAGATTATTTATACTTGCAAGCATTTTATTCGGAATAAAATGTGTGTTACAAAATGAAAAATTTAGTTAAAACAAATAAAATAATAGTTAAATACAACAAAAATATAAATACTAAAAAATTACAAAAACCAGTTATATCTATTGATAAATGATACAATATAATAAATCGTAAATTCAATAATAAGTTATAGTTGAAAATATTTTATATTTTTACATAATTTTATGTTTTAACATTGCCTAAATTTTATAATTGAATAAATATCGAATTATATATTAGATATGAAAAATAATATAGTGAATAATATTAATTAAATCAGACAGAAATAAACAGCATTGTGAATCTAAGCTAATTTTACAAGTGTGATTAATCAGTGAATATATCTTCTCACATTGGCATTGTTAGCACTTATTCAGTTATTACTGGTATTGCAGGAATTACTGTTTCTATGCATTCTTCTTTTTCATATCCTCTAAACTCTTCAAAATAAATCGATTCCATTTTTCAGGCTGATTCTCTGTATACCAGACGCTTAATGTGTCCAGCATAACCTTTTGCTTATCAGTACATTTTTTGCATTGAGTTTGAAAAGCCTCGCTGACGATCTCTGAAAATATAGATAAAATAATTTTAATCCAAAACGATCGATTTTATTGCTAATAAATATAAAGATTCTATGAACATTAATATAATTGCTAAGTGAAAAATATTTATAATAAAAGCTTAAAATAAAATAAAAAGTTATATGTATATGTGTGTATATGTTATATTTTGCAGCAGCAAAAAAAATATAACGTAATTTAAATATTAATTATGTTCTTTATATTTCTAAGAAATCAATTATTTATTCACACACAAAGAACGACAAAAATATTTAGTTGACAGATAGCGCGCAATATTTCTTGCATATATGTATTATATGCAAATATGCAAAATATTTTATAATGGTGTATTTATCACATTATTTTTGAGAAAATGGGTTTGATTAATTTTAAACCAATCTTTTTCTTACGAAATATTCGAAAGATAACGAAATTACAATCATTTTTAATGCGCATTTTTCCAATGATATATAAATTACATATACATATTTTTACTTGACTACTTGACTAAATCTTAAATTAATAATCTTTTGTTAAATTAAAGCGTTTAAAATTAACCGCGGATTGTATTTTATCATACATTTTTTTCTAATATTTACAAAAATGCCTATTATTATGTGTGATTAGTTACTTGAAAATTATGAGGACTTACGACATATACATATATTGAGCATGGAAGAAAATAAATTTTAGTTTAACTAAATAAAAAAATCTCTTTTTTTCTCATGAAAAATAATATATGTTTTATATAAAAGTAAGACATCCCTTACATTATATATATATATAGGGAATGTCTATATATGTGTGTACGTACTAGAGAAGAACTTTGCATCTGCTGTCACACATGGTCCTTCTGCCATAAAACACTTGTAATATTGTTCTCGCAGCCTGTCGTTCGCGAGAATGCTTGGAACATCAACATCGTCGTATTTATCTTCATATTTCTCTTCCTGAGCTTTTCCTCTTTCAATAATACATATCAGTGCGATAGTGATAATCGCGATTGTGTAAATTCGAATCATTATTCTTAATATGCTTTACAATAAGTTGAAGTAGAGATACTGAGTGGTCGATAAGATCGTGCTCAACATTTATATAGGTATCATTCGTGCAAAAAAGTGTTACGTGGATATCGTTGAAAGTGGGATTTAATTAGCAAGAGGAATAATCGTATTTAGCATGTGTGTGTGTGTGTATGTGTCTGCATATTAATGTTACACGTTAAAAGCTGCTTTAACATGTAACAGAATATAATTTTCCAATGAAAATGGTTTTTATAATTGTTTGAATATATGCTTTGACTAGTTTTTTTTAAGTGAATAGTTAAAAAACTCCAATATTCAATTATGCGAAAATAATAAATTGTAAATGCTCTTGAGCTAACATATGTTAGTTTAAAGATGCAGAGTTTTATAACAAAAATTTTAACAAAAAACATCAACACGTATAAACATTTCGGTGATTTAGATATTTCACTTTAAAGCATAATTATAAATCTTATGTTATAAGTGATTGAATGCTTTTTGCAAATATTATTTTGAGATTACAAATAAATGAAAAAATATTTTTCTTTGTATAATTCTGCATAGGCTTCAATCTATGAGTTTTTTTTACTAAAACGTAAATCACGCAACGTTAAAAATATATTGCTTCCTTCGAAATATGATATATATATATATATAGTTCGTACAAATTATGTGAAACATATAATTTAACTTTGATTAACGTACGAATAAAATGCACAATATAATTATAATTATCATGATTAAAACATATATGTAACTTAACTGAAATATTATTTAAAGAATAAATTTGAAATTCTCTAATCAACATGTATATAAAAGTAAAAAGGAGCATTGTAATGAGTATATTTTATGAATTATTCATGAATGATGATGATATCTAATAGATTTTCTAAAAAAAAGTAATAATCTAGTGAATTATAATCTTAGATAATTACTGTGTTTATATAAAGGCATTGTAACAAGGACATTACGATCACTTCTATTATGTATCACAGATTATACTTGTTGCTAAAATATTTCTCATTTGTAAAAATAACTTTTTATGGGAAATTTATAACACATATATCATTATTTATTGGCTATTATTCTATTAGTTTTATCAAGTGCTATATATAGATTGAACTATATGAATATCTTATATATGTCAATTTGATCATTTGATCAATTTAATATTTAAAACCATTATTCTACCAATTTGATCAATTTAAATTTGACCACTATTTAATAAAAATTTTATTCTACTTGTTTATCTCTTTGAAAAATTATCTTAATTACTTTGAAATCTTGAAATTATTCTATACACACTTTTTTAGTATATTTAATAAGAATTCATCGTTCAAATAGTGTTTATGGGAGCTTTCCAGCAAGGACACAATGAGACACAGTCGAGTATAATTCTATTTTTGTTATTTACTGATATGAAAGAAGGTAGAATGATATTCTGTGTTGCACTGTCCCTCCTGAAAAATCCCCTATGTCAATGTATAGATGATGTAATAGCTATTTTAAAACTTGTCTATTTAACCTTGTTATTTAAAACTTGTTTCGGTGTAGCGAAAAAATTTTAAGGACGTGAAGTATATCATAATATTAATAAAATATATATTTTACATACATATAAAAAATAAAAAAAACGTACGAATAAATAGAATTTATTAATTGCACTGTTCTTTATATATATAAAGAAGAATAATATATATAATTCCTTGAAAAGATAAGACATTTGAGCGATATTTGAGGAATATTTGACATACATTGATGTAGCATATAATATAATCACATATATTGTGACATCGAATAAAAACATGAAATAATTAAATGCGAAATATCTTCAAAGTTTTAAACTTTAAGATATATATATATTTTTTATATGTATATTTATATGTATATATATACATATAAATGAATAGATGTATAGCTAAATGAATAGATTCTAATAAATAAAGTAACTCATTCTTTTTAATAAATATAAATCAAAAATATATTTATCATAACTATTTAAAGACACACAAGTCTGCAACAGAAACAATTAAAATGTTATTCTAAAAATAATATTTTACATAATATAATTGGAAGAGCAGTCGCCCGGCAAGCGAAAGGTCTCGGGTTCGATTCCCCATTCAGCGACTTTCAGATCTATATTTTTCTCTTGCATTTACTTATTTCCGTAGGGGGGTGAAAGGGTTATTGAAATTAAATCTCAAATATATGAGATTATTTCATATTTTAAATCTTGGCCGTGACCAAGTAAAATTTGGTGCCTTGTGCACAGATACTTAATCCTAACGAAAAATTTAGTTTCGTTAGGATAACGCACTGTCATCCGCGAGTTGGCTCTTATTGCCTGTCTTATATCTTTAAATTTATATTTATATTACAGAGCCTTGTTAAACTCTTAATTTTTACATAATACTTTATAATATTTTACACAAGTTTTATCATTTATATATCTAACTGACAGTTAAAAGGTTGTAACGAAAAGTATACGACATGGCAGTTTGCATCACCTTAAAAGAAAGTATGATTAAATTATTAACATTGAAAGTAAATATATAAAATATTTGCCGCGCATGTAAAGCGAACGTACTGAGCTGAACGTAGTGATCGACATGATGTACTATGTACATATGTTTGCGGCCGTGAACGTGCAAGGTACAAGACTTCTACGAAGCAATATGCTTAATAATCTTGGCAAACTTGATTTCGACGTAACTAGCAATTTTATTTAATTTTTTCACGACGTTTCGACCATTTGGTTGTGGTCCTTATCAAGTGAAAATTCCATTAATTAAACTGAGATTAACGCAACATCACACTGGTCTTATTTAAAATTAATAGTTAAAAGTTAAAAGAGGAACACGTCCCATCGCTATGATGTTTCGTCAACGACTCAAGTCGTTAATCAAAATTTATATTATATTAATAATAACGTTGCCGTTTGGGAATAATTATAGTAGTAATGCAATTTAAACAGATTAAAACATAATTTTGATACTTGCACTTTGTCGAATACTTCATTATATACTTTTATCCAGGAGTAATTGTTCGGGTAAACACATGCTTAAAAGATGAGTGATAATCGCTCCCATAGCTATATGCGTCCAAATCTTATCACTTCATAGATTTGTCCCAACTTATTGATAAGCTGCAATGTATATAAATTTTTTAATTTTTATAAATATTCTAATGTGTGTCTTTTTTTATGTTTTTTCTTACATAACGCAATATTTTTAATAATTAACACAGAGTAGTTTATTTGTAATCCAATCAGACTTTATACGTTCAAAAACAAGATGATAAACGTCGTAATTCTGTATGTTGAATTTAGTAAGTTAATGTATCTAAAAGATCAAAAAATAATATGTGAAAAATTTAGTATAAAATAAATAGTACTCGTAATTGAAGAGAATAAATATTAATAAAATTTTTATTAATAAATACAAATAAGAGAGACCTAAGAGCTATACGCGGATGTTCCTTGCGTATATACATTTCTAACATAAACGAAGTGTGCACACGGCACAAATATTTCTTGGTGTACTACCAAGACTTTATAATGTAAAATATCTCATACTTGAGATTTTTATGAATGATAAAATTTTTTATAATACTAACTTTATTGCTATAGTTGATGTTTTCTCAAGCATGCAATCATCTCGCGATAATCCTCAGAATTATGTTCTTTTATTACTAAGCGGTTTTTGTTGATTATTTTCTCGTCTTCAACAGTACTATCGAGAATGTTTTCAAGGCGAATGCTTGAAGATATTAATGCATAAGAATTTTGAATTACGCAATCTGGATTGAGATATTTTTTAAGCTGCAATAACTATCTAATGACTTGATTGAAATTAAAGTAAATATTTATAATTGTAAATATATCTTATATCTTATACAATTACGATTACTTATCCGATAACATAAAAAAAACTACAACCGTCCCTAATAGCACATCATATCCGAAAGATATTCAGGGGATATTCAAAGGACATTCTCAGGACGTTCTCCGAACGTCTTCGGAATATGTGTGCTGTTAGGGGTGTAACACAAACCATATACATCGTATCAATATTTACCATAAACCTGATAGTAATTATAACTGTACAATAACAATGCAACAAAATTGGATAATAATATGTATTTCTCTTTGTCTACTCTCAATTCTCCGTAATAACATATAAAACTGGTCGTGACTCATTCAACGGTATTATAAATTATAACATCTAGGATTTTTGGCATTAACGGTGTTGACATAAATATTATTATGAATATGTTAATGTACACTGCAAAGAGAACATACGTTGCTGCATTAAACCTATTATTTCTAATTAGTTTTTATAATACAGAAATTTTCTTACAAGCTTGATATATTTTTGAATATTAATCTCAATAGATTTGAAACAGTTGACTATTCAATTTATTAATATTTGTTTGATGCACTTATGCGATTTAAAACTAGTTATCCGATCATCTGAGTAATATTTTGTCACTTTTTGGCCAATGTTAGCATAATACCTCAAAATATGAAGCTCACACTCGCTTTGAAAGAGCCGCCAATTTTCATCCATCAGTTCTAACAAATATTTCAATTAACAATAAAAAGGAAAAAACAATAATATAGAATAATAAATTGATAAAGACATAATTAACAATTTGTTTTAATTCTTGTGAACACAACGAATGTATATGTACAATTCAATAATATAGAACGTAAAAATTAAAGCAAGTCAAGGAACATAAAAATTTTATAAATTATAAATAAAATTTTGCCAAAAAATGATTGTCCAAAATGTGCTTTTTAATATTATCATTAAATTGCATATTATTCGATTTACACATGCACACTATATCAAACTTACTTTTCTATTGTTTATAACAATATTAACAAAAATAGAGCCACCAACAATAAGGATAACATTAACTGTACCTTCGACAGTCATACTTATTTCACTCCAAGTATCGTACAACAAAAACACCTATATAAATTAAGAACGGTATCGATTAGTTACTAAGAAAAAGAGAAAGAAATATATTACGAAAATATTTATTAGAAAGAATTCGAATCGTCCAATAATATTTCTCAACTGATTTAATTGTGAGATGACGCAATTGCACAATAAATAACATTCCCACGTACGTTACCTGAGTTAAAAGTATAGATATCTCGGCGACTATTAAGAAACACGGTAGCAATATCTTTATCATCCTAAGCTGATAAGGCCAAACACCTATCAGTGACAAGAAGAATTAATTTCTGGAATAATATTTTAGCATGTCCCCTTGCATGTCGCAAAATAATTGCGAGACTTGATCACCCTCCTGCTAGGTATCCCATTGTAGAGAAAAAATGCAAAGTGAATGCAGTAAAAAAAATACTATATTATTTCGATAATTTCCGGTTGTCAGAAAACGTTTATGCGCCATAGTAGGTGGATATTTGATCGATTTATGCTGATCGTTATACTGTTTGCTATTAAATATTTATATATTTTACAAGAAATATTCTCCAAACATTTACGACAGTATAAAATTATTGTACTGATCTTCGGTTAAGTAAAAGTAAATAATGTAACTTTATAACTTATATAGAACGCGATATTTTTATCAATTTTCTATAAAACAAACTGAAATATATTAAATTCACTTCCCAGATAGCCACAGTAATTATTATGACATCATTTTGATGTCAAAATGCATCATTTTGATGTCATAATAATTACTGTGGCTGTCTGGGTTGGTATGTCGCGTAAAGTAGAAATTGATTTATAAAAGCATCCCTTTGCGATTGATAAAATTCTACCTTTTATAACGAAAAACGTTTCCTGACAACAATGATGATGATATATCTTTCATGATATTGCATACGCTCTATATTTTTTGAAAATCAAAAAATTTCTTTTGATATTTGCAATGAAAAAAGATTAAAACAAAACTATTACTAAATATTTTTTAGATAAATCTGATTATCTAATTGAAATTTTGGATATTTTCTCTAATTCAATAATATCTTTCAAAAATTACACACATATAGTTTTTCTATTACTTTTTTATATGGAAAGTCTAAATTAACCTTGACTAAATGGGTATTGTGATCATTAAATATTGTATAATGCAGGATAAACCGGTAATATAAGATAATAATTTTTTACTGTCATAAGATAAAAAAAGGCCATACAAGTATTCTAATGATTAATGAACTAATTTATAATGATTTTCCGGGAACGCGTGCATATATACAAATCAGTGCATATATATATATATATATGTACATATATAATTCATACATATTAATATTGCATATAATAAGTTCTAATAAGAAAATCTTATGTATTAAAAATGATTTGTATATATATTCACACGTTCCCGGAAAACATTATAATATATTATATTTATGTTATCATTATAATATTATATGTTATCTCATCTTATAATACATTATATGTTATCATTATAACATATATATATAGTATATATATATATAATTCATGTTATATATATATATATATATAAAATAAAATATACTATTACTTTTGAAGATATCTTCTTAAAATTCTGAAATTATCATTCATTTTATTATACTATACTACACCATCAATAAGAATTCATAAATATTCATTCGTCAGAGCAGTACCGAAATTAATGTACGTACATAGATATGATATATATAACTATTTTAATATTCAAACCGGATAACATAATGCGACTTAAAAAAATGATTTATAGCAGTATTTTATTCAGAAAAAATAAAATATACGAAATAGAAATTATAATAGCATCATTTTTCTTATGGCGTAAAGATTTGAAGATATTTGACCTTTAATTATTTAATTATCTTTGTTCAATCTTACAATATGTCATTATATACCATCGATTTATACACGCTTCAAATGTCTTATCTCTTCAAAAATCAGACGTGTATATATAAATATATGTATATATGTATAATTATATATATGTACATGTATATGTACATATAAATGAATAGATTCTGATTAAGAAAGAACTCGTTTTTCTTAATATGTGAAACAACACATTTATTATAACCATATTTGAAATGTTTTCTACAACAATGACAACTCTCTAAAAAAGAGTCTCTCTAAAAAAATACTTTATACAATATTTTATAATATTTTTATAAGTAAGTTTATCGTTTATATGTCTAACTGACTGATAAAAAGGTTGTGAAGTACGACATAGCTGTTTGCATTACCTTAAAAAGTATCATCAAATCATAATATTGTTTAAGCTGCTATATACAAAACACTTTTCGTGCGTATAAGACAAACATACCGTGCTGAACGTCTCTACCGACATCACCGACATGTTTTCGGCAGTGAGTATGCAAGGCACAAAACTCCTATAAAGCAATATCCTTAATAATCGTATTGTTTTCGACGAAAACGTATACCATCGCGTATTGTATCTACAAGATAAAAATGTTTCATATAATCGAATTCTTATAGTGACTGTATGAACAAATTGTACGTGCAATTATAACCAAGATTATATATTGAAATAGCGTTGCCATTTTGGAATAATTGTAGCAGTAAAGCAATTTAAACAATTAATAATGCAATTAAAACATGATTTTGATACTTGCGCCTTGTCGAACACTTCTTCGCTTTTATTCACGAGTAGTTGCCCTGGTATACACATGCTCATTAGATGAGTGATCGCTCCCATAGCTATGCATCCAAATCTTATCATTTCTTGGATTTGTCCCAATTTACTTAGAATCTACAATGTATATGATTTTAACATTTTTCTAAATATTTTAGTTTTTTTATGTTTTATGTTTGTTCTTTCATAATTCAAAAAGAAATACGAATAATTAACTACAGAGATTAGACGTCCAACTTATAATTGATAAATTAATATCAACTTATATTTTCTCACTATATATATATATATATATATATATACACACGTATATATACGTATATATACATATAAAACTTTATTTTATTATAAAACTAATTTATTATTTACTTTACATATTTACTTTATATATATTACATACGTATATATTACTTTATATACACATACACATACATTATATACATATAAGAAGTATAAATATGTGTGTGTATGTATGTATAAATCAAATTTTTCTTAAATTTCCATTAATATTTTTAATAATTAATACATATGGTGGTTTACTTGTAATCCAATTAAACTCAGAATCATTACATTTAGAAACAAGATAATAAACGTCACAGTTTTGAATGAAGATTCTATCACATCAACGAATCTAAAAAATAATGAAAAATTTAATGTATACTATTATTATTTATACATATAATTTAATGTATGATTATGGTAATTATAATTAAATAATATTACCAAAGTTATTATTAATGATAAAATTTTTCATAATACAAACTCTATTGCTAGTTGGTGTTTTCTCAAGCATACAATCATCTTGCGATATTCTTCAGAATCATTCTTCTTTATTACTAATTTTAAATATTTTTCGCTCACCTCGTCTTCCATATATTCAGTTTTGTTCTGTATATTTTCAAGACGAATGCTTGAAAAAACGCATAAGATATTATCAAAATCACAGGTAATCTGTATCGAGATATTTTTAAGCTGGAATAACTATCTAATGACTTGAATAAAATTAAAGTAAATATATTTACTCCATATCTTGCAATATCGATTACTTACCCGATAGACTCAAATAAACTACAACTGTGTAGTACACACACTATATACATGGTATCACAATTCACCATACATCTAGTACTAATTACAATACAAACAAAACAATGCAATAAAATTGGGTAATAATATTCCACTTGGTCTACTCCCCATTCTCCCGCAACGATAAATATATATGGCCGTGACTCATTCAATGGTTTTATGAAATCTAGAATTCTTGGCGTTAACGGTATTAACATAAAAAGTATTGCAAATATGTTAATATATACTGCAAAAAGAACACATATTGTTGCAATAAACCTATCATGCTTAATCATTCTTATAATATAACATTTTTTTCAAATTTGATATATTTTTGAATTTCAATCAACAGATATTCGAAATAGTTGATTATTAAATTAGAGTTTGTTTAATACACTTATCCGACTTAAAATTAGTTATCTAGTCACCTGAATAGTATTTTGTCACTAGCTGGCTAATATTACCATAATATCTCAAAATATGAAGCTCGTATTTATTTTGAAAGAGTTGCCAATGGTCCTCCATCATTTCTAATAAATCTTTTATCTAAAATAAAAAAGAAAAAAACAATGATGGGGAATAATAAATAAATTAATGAACACTTATACTTAATAATTTGTTTTGTTTCCATGAACACAGCAAATGCAAAATTCAATAATATATGAAACGTAAAAATTAAAGGCCATTTTTCTTTGATCTTATCTTTGATCGAATCGTATACTTATGATTTTATGTTATTACGTGTATGTCAATATACATACATTATATATATATATATATATATATATATATATATATATATACGTATATGTATACTATATTATAAAATACATTTTAATAATTAGCATATAATATGTACATATATTAAAGTGCAAAATAAAATTGTAAATAAAACTTTGTTAAAAGTTGAAGATAGTCTAAAATGTTTCTCTCGATATTCATCATTGAACATTATTTGATTTACATTCACATAAAATTAAACTTACCTTATAGTTATTTATAATAATGTTTAGATATTTTGTAGTGGCTCCAATAAGAAGGATCAGAGTAACTGTACATTCGACAGTCAAACTCAGGTCACCCCAAGTAGCATATAAAAAAGGTATCTATAAATAACATTATCAATCAAATACTGAGAATACTGGCAATACGGAAAAAAAGCGAAAGATATATGACGAAAATATTTCATTAGAAGAAAGTCAATTCGCCTGATAATATTTTTTAATTGACCTATGACATAGTATATAATGACACATTTATACAATTGTTTGCACAAATAACATGCTCGTACATTACCTGAGTCGCAATACCAGAGATTTGGGCGCCTATTATAAGAAACGGATCAATATTTTTCTTGTCCTAGACTGATAAGGCCAAATACCCATCATCGACAAAAAGAATTGATTTGTAGAGTAATATTTTAACATGTCTCCGTGCATGTTGCAAAATAATTGGGAGACTGATCCGATACTTTCTTGGTAGATATCTGACTGTAGAAAAAAAATGCAAAGCGAATGCAGTGAGAAGAATGATGATATATCGTGATGATAATTTCGGCTTGTCAGTATTGAAAACTTTTATGCTTAACGTAGAGAGATATTCGATTTATAAGAATCGTCACTGTTCGATATTAAATATTTATTTTTCGCAGTAAGAAATATTTTCAAGTGCTTCTCGACAACCCAAAATTATTTCCTATAGACTAAACTGAAATATTCTCTCGGTGCAGCGTTAAAAGTAGAATTCCATCTATGAAAAGCATCCCTCTTTGTGATTAAAATTTCACCTTTTGCAGCGGGACGGTTCGTCGTCGCGCGACAACCCGAAATTATCATAATAACATCTTTGACGGTATTGCTTATGCTCTATATTTTTTCCATGCTCGAAAACTGAGTATTCAGTCTCGCAATTGTTTTGTAACATACAACACAGCGTGTAATACTATTTAAAAATAAATTTTTATTATAAATGTTTGATTTTATCGATTAAGAATTTTTCATATAAAGAAAAAATGTGTAAATTATAAAATAAGAAATAAATTTTCTCTATAGAATAAATTTTAAAATATAATTCATTTAATTGTGATAAACCATTGGAGCAATCTTCTTATAACATTTGCAGGAAACCTAAAACATATACATATTCTGTGAGTTACCACAGTAAGATTAATTTTAAAATATAATTAATTTAATTGTGATAAACCATTGGAGCAATCTTCTTATAACATTTGCAGGAAACCTAAAACATATACATATTCTGTGAGTTACCACAGTAAGATTCACTCTCTTTAAAATCACTTGATAACGCCCCTTTTTACCTATAATTAAATATTAATAAACGAAATTATATTTTATGTACTATGCACTAGTTCAGAATCGAATGTCTTCATTATTAATGATGGCATTATCAGTCACAATCATAGACATAGGACCAAGTAGAATTCGATCTATAGAAAGCATCCCCCTTTGCGATTAAAATTTCACCTTTTGCAGCGCGACGGTTCGTCGTCGCGACAACCCGAAATTATCATATAACATCTTTCACGGTATTGCTTACGCTCTATATTTTTTCCATGATCGAAAATTGAGTATTCAGTCTCGCAATTGTTTTGTAACATACAACAGAGCGTATTATACTATTTAAAAATAAATTCTTATTACAAATGTTTGATTTTATCAGTTAAACATTTTTCGTATAAAGATAAAATGTGTAAATTATAAAATAAGAAATAAATTTTCTCTGGAATAAATTTTGAAATATAATCCATTTAACTGATAAACCATTGAAGTAATCTTTTTACAACATTTGCAGGAAACCTAAAACATATACATGTTTTGTGAGTTACCACAGGAAGATTTACTCTCTTTAAGATCACTTGATAATGCCCCTCTTTGCCTGTAATTAAATATTAATAAACGAAATAATATTTTATGTACTTTCACTAGTTCAAAATCTAGTCTCTAAATTATTAATGATGCCATTGTCAGTCACAATACGGGCGATTAACCGAAATTATTTTCTACAATCTTCAGTAAACTTTAATTTACACGTGTATGAAGATAAATTATAATAGTATTTTATGTATTCTCTGTCATATATTTTTAAAATATATAATTATATATATTAAATTATATTTTACTAATAATCATAAAGATAATTTATTAGCATTGCAATTAATATATGTACATATTATGCTAAAGATATATTAATTAAGAGATTCGATCAACTGACCATCAATTTTTTCGTACTTTTGCACCTTGCTTACCGAATACGTCTTTTCCCCATCTACTAGGAAAATATCTCAATCCGTCAAAATTCGTATATTTATTTTCGGTAGACAAACGATATCTACGTTCTGTGTGTATTCGACCGGGCTTTTCAATATCAGTATAACGTAATCGTTGTAAAGCACGCCGGAACGGAAGCTCTCGTGAACCACAATTTTCTTGACGTCGCGGTCCTATATCGGATAAACCTCGTATTTCGTTTGCGTGTCCCATTCTTCAGCGCGAACTTTGAGTTCATGCGATTGTTTTCTGTTAATCGAAATGTAATGTTAAATTAAAGAAACAATGAAGAAAGAGCACAATAAGCAAAATACTATTTATTTAAATGTAATATGAATTTTCGCTGTTATAAACGGAAACACACATTATATCTAAAATAAATCTTATATTTTGAATACAGAAATAAGAATAAATAGTACTTATTTTCCGTACTTGAGGTGAAAATTTATTTCGAACAAAGTTAGCAAAATTTAAAGACCATCTATTCTTCAATCGTGATCTTCAAAAAAATAGTTTTAAATGAGGCAGAAGGAATAACAATTAGCCACAAATGATATCGCGTTAACACAATTAAATTTCAATATTAATTAATTTAGAACACAGAGATATTATGGATACTTTCAATAACTCGTTTTGTTTGACAAATGAATATATTAATTAAATTACGTCGAGAATTAAAATATTACTTCAAAATAAGTTTTGTCTCAAGTGCTATGAAGAAAAATGTAGAAATAATTGTTATTTCAATTTTTCAAATACAGAAATAAGACAATAAATATTATTTATATAAGAATATAAACAGTATTTCTTTCTATCACATTTAATATTTTTTGTTCAAAAGCACAATTGAACAATGGCCTTAAAATTTCACTAAGGTTATCAATATAATGTTATTTTTATAATCGTATCGAGGTTTATAATAACAAGTCGACTACTGACGCATTAACGCAATGAAATGCAGTGAGAACGGTCGGTGAATAAGTGCACCGTGGCATTGATAAACATTAAATTTTTCACTGTTTTCGCTAATTGCCTCTTTCTTCAAAATGGCCACGGAAATTTGCCAAACTGTGCCTCGTTATCGGTCTGTCCGGTGATCCTAGAACCGATTTTCTCAGCATTTTGTTCACATCCGGTTTTACCGATCGGTAGCGGTGTGGCTGGTGAGTGTAGATCCGGCGGTTTGCAACAACGTCCAAGTAATTCTCGCATGGTCCAACAACTCTAAATAGCCAATCAAATAATTATATAAACATCAGGAGCAATTATTCTTGATTAATCTTATAATAGGAATTGCAAAGCGATCGTTTATTCACATATAAATATAAGCAATTAAAAAAGTCAAAAGAGCATCTACAAGATATTTAATGAATATCTGAAAGATCAATAAAACATGTGTTGTTTCTGTTCTTTTAAATCTTGGATCACTGTTGTGAGTGCAACATTTTTTTAATTTTGCTAATATACCGATAATTTGTTAAATTATTTTTGTATATATTTAAAAGATTATAATCTAAACATTTTGTGATACAGAACAATTTAAATATTAGGCAATTACTAAGCTTTAAAAACATTATTAACAATAAGTCATCATTAAGAGAAATTATGAGCAATTACCTTTTCCCATAATTGTTCTTTCTCCTCACAATTGAATTGCCCATCAAATGATAATTTACATTCTTAATTTAACAATAGAAATGGTTGCTTATTTGCATATACGGAAAGAAGAATTTTATTTTCCAAAGATGTCTCATGCGGTGTGTAAATAATGAGATGGTATGCTTAAAATAATCAGTTTGATATTAAAATTTATAGTACAATTTGAATTGTAATCAATTATAAGTATTTATTATAGAGAAACAAGATGGGAGCATTATATGTATACATATTTAACCACATGCAGAGAATATTTTTTAATTATTTGCAAATAAGTAATTAATTCTGTTATCATGTGTAATATTGCAAATATTTCAGAGTTACATTTTTCTTTAATTTTGTAATTTTAAATATTACAATTACATAAAATTTTCATAACTCACAATTATAATAATTAAAGAGCTATTATACTTTCGAACGTTGTACTTTCGATAAACAATAATTGCCGTGTAGAATATTTATAATTACGTTGTTATTTATGAATGTATATAGCATTGTATCGAGAGCTGAACATTGTATGTACTATGTACGCATATAAAATAAAAGAAAGAAAGTACACCGTTCATTGATGTGTTATACTTCCACTTTTCTTCTAATGCGTCCTTTGTGTAACTCAAATCACTTATTGTAACTATCATGCTAGAAATGCATTCAATGATTATACATTGTTCATTATAAAGACACAAATACAATGATGGATTCTTTTGTTCAATTTACGTAAAGAAATTGTGCTAAAAATTAAACTTTTTAAAAACATTATGAAAGAAAGAGCATTTTTACAATAATTTACATAAACGCCGCTGGAAACTTTTGAATGCCTCAAGAAAGTTTGCCCCGGCGGACTTTTTTTTATTTCCTCGGCTGAAAAGGGAGCTCAAAGGACAACAGCTCGAGTCGGTTGACAACGTACAGCTACTTCGACGGCCTCCCTGAACAGCATCCCAGTCAAGGAGTTCCAGAAATCTTATGACGCATGGAAATCGCGTTGGCAAAATGTATTGACGCAGAAGGGTCATACTTCGAACAATTTTAAGTTGTTTTACCTATGCGATCAATAAATTCTTTTTTTAAAAAAATGCGACGCATTACTTTCCGGACAAACCCTGTACCATATAAATAAAAGAAAGAAAGTACACCGTTTATGATGTGTTATTACTTCCACTTTTCTTCTAATGGTTCTTTGTGTAACTCAAATCACCGTATTGTAACTATCATGCTAGAAATGCATTCAATGATT